GACGAGTGAAAAATATTTTTTTAATTATTTTAATTTTAAAAAGAAAAGAACTGAGATAAAATAAAATATACTAAAAACTTAAGCTTGAAATACTAAAATGACCAAGACTAAATAAACTAAAACTATGAAACTTAATAAACCTTAAAATAATAAAACTATAAAAATGAATAAAAACAAAAGAATAGAATAGAATGCATACAGAAGCTAATGAAAATGACAAAAACACAATAAAATTACTGAACCTTTACATTTAAAATGAAAACACAATAAAAAAAAAAAAATCTAATTCAAAATATGAACAAAAGCTATACTGAAATAACACTATCATGAGTTTGATTTCCAGTGAATGCATGAACTGATCAGATGTGTTCCTTTAACGCAGCAATGTAAGTCACTTTGTATAAGAGCATCTGTCAAATGCATAAATACTGAACCCAGAACATTATTTGGATTGATCCCTCTTCTTTTTTTTTTTTGTTCTGCTTGCCCCTGTTAATAGTCCAGTTACTTTCCTGCATCCTACTTTCTGTGTTTTGTTCATCTTTTGGTCTGTCTCTGAAGGAAGTTGAAGACATGCAGGAGTTACTGAGAGAACTGGGTCACGATGAGAAACGCCAGTGATTCCTACAGGAGAGAAATGAACTCAGACAGATGGATGTCAGTGACTGAGAGAAGAGGTACACACACACACACACACACTCACTCACTCACTCGCGCACACACACGCACACTCACTCACACACACACATGCACACTCACACACTCACTCACTCTCACACACACACACGCACACTCACTCACACACACACTCACACACTCACTCACTCGCACACACACACGCACACTCACTCGCGCACACACATGCACACTCACACACTCACTCACTCGCACACACACACTGCGGCACAGGTGACACTCACAACCACACCCACACACTCACTCACTCGCACACACACCCGCACCCTCACACACACACACACACTCACTCGCACACACACATGCACACTCACACACTCACTCGCACACGCACACACACACACACTCACTTGCACACACACATACACACTCACTCACTCGCACACACACATACACACTCACTCGCACACACACACACTCACTCACTCACACGCACTCACATGCACACACGCACTCACTCACTCGCACACTCACTCACGCACACTCACTCACGCACACTCACTCACACGCACACACTCACACACTCACTCACACACTCACACTCACACACACAC